TTGTGCAGAGACACTCGGTACTTAAAGCACAAAAAGCAGCAGCGTGGGGACTTCTGGGCGAGGCCGGGGAGGGCCGAGAGGGCAGGCTAGGGCAGAGGCTGTGACCAGGGGTTTCTTGGATGGGAAAAGGCTTGCTGTTGTCAGGTGCCTTGGAGGAGGTTTTGACCCACAGAGACCCGGTGCACAGCAGAACGAAGTGCCGCCCGGTCCTGCGCCATCCTCATAAGGGCCCCTGAGCCCGAGCCCACGGATGCAGCTGTGGGGTCTGCCCACCTCCCTGAGGGCCCTCCCCTTTCTCCCCGTCCTTCAACATTACCAAGCAGGGACTGGTGGCTCCTGGGGCATGTCCACGTCTAGGACCATCCAGCTGGGCTTCCTGTGCTGGGATATGGAGTCTTTGCTGGCACCTGAGACCTCTGTAGGGATTAGGGGTCTTTATAGGGAACCGGGGTCCTTACAGGAGGACCTGAGATCTTCCTAAGGGGACCTGGAGTCTCTGCAGGATGTGGGGTCTTTATAGCAACCAAGGGGTCTCTGTAGAAATAGAGGGTCTTCGTAGGGAGACCTAGGGTCTTTGTAGGAGCCTGGGGTCTCTATAGGGGTGTAGGGTCTTTGTAGAAGGACCTGGGGTCTCTGCAGGGACGCAGCTTGGATATTAGTCTGACAGCCACAGGAAGCCATTGTTTCCAAGCGGCCCACCCTCCTGCTTCTCAAAGTGGGGTCACCGGGCCAGCAGCATCTCTGTCCCACCTCGGGCCCTAGAACCACAAGGGGCATGCTGGTCAGCATGTGGTCCCCAGACGGGCAGCAACATCCTCTCCCAGGACTTGCTGGAAGCATGGCATCTCATCAGAAGGTGGCTTTAATGAGCTCTGGGCTCTGGGCCTGCTCCCGGCAGACAGTGCAGCCCGGGGGCAGACACTGGTACTTGAGAGGGGGAACTGCCTCACTCTGTATGAAGCCGGGTGCGCACGTGGTCTGTGAGCACAGACGGCTGTATGGTGGCGGCCTGGGGACTGGGCCAGGAGAAGCAGATGGAAGCCTGGGTGAGCCGGTCCCTGGGCTTGGATGGGGGGAGGGCGCTGGCAACCACACGGCCCGTTCAGTGCAAGACAACTAAGATCCTCTGGCTGCCCAAAGCCAGCGCCTCTGTAAAGGCCGTACCTGTCATCAGCCAGGTAAACATCGGCACCTGGGGCCTGAAATTGCTCTATCGAGTCCAGCAGTGTGTGTCCCTCCAAGTCCCTGCGTCACGTGTTGGCCGATCTCACAGTGGCTGCACTGTGTTCGATCGTCCCTAATCTTGGGGGCCCATAGGCCGTGAGCAGTGAGTGGGGAAGACCACAGAACAGAGCCTTCGAGGAGGGTGCTGGAGAAGACGTGCAGGGACCACGGGCAGCTGGGAGGGCACACAGGTCTACCTGGAGGACGTGCAGTCAGGCTGCACCTCCAAGGGGGGCGGGAGAGTCCATCTCAAACACCCTGGGCATGTGGCAGGACCGTCCCGTCCCTGCAGGAGGACATCACGCCTGACCAAGGGAGGCGAACTGGGCTCAAACACAATCATTATGAGGGTGGGACGAGGCCTGGTGGTGCTGTCCCTGGGGTGGGGTGGCTGTGGGTCGGCACTGACCCAAAGGTCCCTTCCAACAACACGGGGTTTCTACGAGCTGGACTCGATGGGACAGCAGCAGCACCACCGACACCGCATCCACACTGCACCCCTCACAGAGGGCCGCCACGCACGCACGCTGAGAAGCCCTGATGGCCAGGGTGCTTCGCAGCCCGCAGGGTCCACAGAGCCTCCTTGGAAGGCTCCCAGGGGCAGCGACAAGATGAGGCTGGCGCAGGCTGGGCGTGGGGGTCGCTCAGAGGGCAACCCACAGAGGGGGGCTGTGCACGAGCGGGAGGCCCTTGCGGGACGGACCCTGTGCTGGTGGATGTGGGGCCTCAGAAGTGCACTTCCAGCACCTGTTCACGCCATCTCCCATGAGCTCTGGGGGCATGGCTACAGGAAGTGCTGCCACCAAGGAGGGCCGAGGCTAGGAGGAGACGGTCCTGGCATAGCCCGTTCCAGCCTGTCTGTCACCAAGCCGAGGAGCGAGTGAGGGGGGGCCGTGGTGACTGGGCTCTGTTTCGGGGTCGCCCTTAAAGGCACCATCCAGACCACAGCCTCCCACGGTACAGACCAAGCTACGAGGCCCCAAGGAGGCGCAGGGAACCCCTGGAAGCAGTTCTAAGAAGGTGTCTTTGCCCAGAACCAGAAGACAAGGATTTAAACCCCTGTCCCAGGGCTGTCCAAGGTCGGCCCCCACGCCCCCCAGGGTGAGCACCGGCCTCGCCACTGGGGTCTCTCCTCAGGGAGCTCCGCAGGGAGAGCTACTTCTAGGTAAGGGCTGGAAACTCCATCTTGTTGGAAAGAGAATTTAGGCTGTAAGCAGGGAGATCCACACGGGGGCGCCCTAGAACAGGGTGGTCCCTCACCCTATAGGACTTTGCTATGGGGGGGCGGGGCAGAGAACAAACGGAGAGAGCGCTGTGAGGGTCTATGGGGGGAGGGACAATCTGGGACAGACCTGACCCCGGAGAGGCCAGAGGCAGCATGGCCCTGTCGGGAGCCTGATGGAGCTCCCAGTCCCCACCTGGGGAGACGAAATGTTCCTGCCCTCAGGGACACTGAGCTTCTGCTCTGGTAGCACCAGGGATGAAGCACCCCTCAGACCGCACTGACTGGGGAGATGGACCCCCCCAGCCCCACGGACAGTGTCCCTGCTCCCTATTCTCAGTCTCTCAGGAACGGCCCCCACAGAGGGGCCCAGAGTATGGGCAGTGCTCCAGCCCACCACCCTCCTCAGGAGACTTCTCCCTCAGCCAGGGTAGAGTTCGCAGCCTTCCTGCACCCTCCCCCTGGCTCCAGGAGCACCGGAGCATGGAGTCTTGGTACTGAAACCAATCCCAGAGAGAAGCAGGAGAGTGCTCCCATTCCCGAGGAAATGGGAGGGAGGGAGCCTTGGAAGAGCAGGCTGTCAGGGCAGCAGCCCCGCCCCTCATTGCTGTGTGCGGGGTGGGGTCTTTGCCCGACAGGGGCCAGTAGGGACTCTTAACTCAGAGACCAGAGACGGACACGTGGTCTCCGGGAATGGGGGCTCTGCTGGGCTCCCGGGAGGACAGGCAGCCACAGGAGCAGGGCCCATCCCTGGGGCCTCAGGCCGGACAGAGAAGCGGGGAAGAGCGTGGCCTGGGACTTTCAAGTGAACCTTGCCCCCTGTGGTTAGCCCCCCTCAGCCCCCCAACGGAGAGACCAAGCCCAGAGCCCAGGAGGTGAGTCCGGCTCACTGCGGTCCTGGGACAGGGCAGACTGGGCCTCCCATAGTGTCCGTCTGTCCGTCCTTCCGTATACCTGCAGGGAAGCAGCCAACCATGCGGGCAGCAGCCCTGTGCTCAACCCGCTGCATCCCTCTCTGTCCACGTGTGTCAGCGTGTACGGCCACACATGACCGACATTCCGTACATGTGACACCTACTGCCATCACGGCCATTCCGACTCAGTCACCCTCCACAGGGCCTGCGAGGCTTCGCGCCTTCCCAGGAGCAGAGAGGGTCTGGGCCTTGCCGTCAGCAGTCCACGGCTCACCCAGCTGGGCCGCCGGGGCTGCTGTCCACACACCGCACACGCATGCACACTCGCGTGCACACACGCAGAGGTAGATAGGCAGGTGAGAGGTGATAGGCAAGTACCACTCCTACATAACCACCGTGGGGGCAGCCAGGACCGGGGAGGCCCTTCACTCTGTGTACGTGGGGTCGCGACCAGGACAGAGAGAAGTAAGCAGGCACTGGAGCTGCTACCAGCAGTCCGCAGTTCAAAACCACCAGGCGCTCCATAGCAGAAAGATGAGACTTTCTCCTTCCACGAAGAGTTCATCTCAGAAACCCCCAGGGGCCGTTCCCGCCGGTCGTTCAGGGTGGCTCTGAGTGCAGTGAGTTAGGTAGATAAGTGTGTGCGCGCGCGCACGTGAGCTGCAGAAAGTTCAAGGGACAATGGAATGAAAAGATCATGGAATTTCCCCAGGAACCTTCTGGAGCTCCCGGTGAATTTGTGGGTGCTGTGGTTGGTGGCAGTGCCCGGTGCCGTCGAGCAGCTGGTGTGTAACAGAGGGAACCAGCGCCCGGTCAGTCCTGGGCCAGTCTCCCCTCTTTGCTGTTTGAGCCCATGGTTGCAGCCGCTGTGTGGCTGAGCCCTGCCCACCAGCCTGCAGACCTGTCTCTGCCTTTGAGGAAGGGAGGCGGAGCCAGGGAGAAGAGCCAACAGACACCACGTTCATGGGGGGGGGAGCTGGGAGACCCATACACGCCCGAAGCCCCAACCCCCGGGGAAGGCCTGTCACCCCTCAACCCCAACATTCTCCGCAGTGGAGACTGGCCGCCTGTGCAGACCTCAGACCCTGGACAGGAAGGTCCCCCACCACGTCCGAGCCCGCTTCCCTGGAAGCCCAGCAGAGCCAGACCCCGCCCTCTGCCCCAGCCACTTCTGAGGGGAGCGTCAGGGGGTCTTGGCAAGAATCAGGTCCGAGCCCAGAGTACACCCACCAGGGTGGGCTGTCCGGGGGTGGGGTGGGGGGTGGGGGCGGCACTGGTCTGAAACAGAGTCACAGCAGCACCCTGCCGCGCACAAACACACACCCCAGCCCTCTGCCCCCTCGGGCCTCCGCACAAAGGGCCACCCCTCCCCCTCCTCTGGCCCTCTGTTTGCCGGGCGCTCCCTCGGCTGGCGGCCCAGCTGCGGAGGGTACACGCGCCTTTGGGGGCCTCTGGGCGACGCATCTCAAGTCCAAGCACAAACAGCGATTGTGCGCTGACCTACATTCCCCAGCAGGAGCAGCGCTGCCGCCCCCTCCCCTTCCTGCCCCCCTCCTCCGGGGGAAAGGGAAGGAGGTGGATGGGAAGACTGGCAGTTTCCGAGCGGCTGGCCAGTGAGCTCCCCTGCCCTGCTGACTCACCGCCACAGCGAGCTCTCCAGCACCTTCCCCATATCCGCGTGGTAGTACTTGGTCAGGATCAGGATGACCTGTGGGTCGGAAAGAAAAAGGTCGACGTCAGAAGAAGAAGGGGCCCACAGGTGGAGGGAGGTCGGAGGGGCCCACCCCCAGCAATTAGGGCCCTTCAAATAGGGGCCCACCCCCACCCCGCTTGTCCCAGCAGGGGTGCCTGGAGGAGCGCCCAGGCGCAGAGGCTGGGAAGAAAGGCCTGACTCCCTGCATGTGAAAACCAGCCGGGAGGACACGGTGGGGCCTTGGTGAGGGCCCCGGCACACAGGGCGGAGGGGACTAAGAACACACCAGACGGCAGCACGTCCTCTGTGTGCACGGGTCCTGGGGGGCCCCGTGAATGAGGGGGGCTCCTCCTAGGCCTCACTTGTCAACTACTCATCAGAACAAGCGATCCGGCCAGAGTGCTCCTCAGAGGCAAGGATGGGAGACTTGGTCTCACGTACTTGGGACAAGCTGTCCCTGGAGAAGATAAAGTGGGGGGCAGTGGAAAGAGGCAGGCCCTGGAGGAGCGGCATGGACACAGTGGCTGCCTCACCGCGCTCGGGCACAGGCACCGTTGTGGGGACGCGCGGGTCACTGGGAGTTGGAACTGGCTCGGAGGCACCTACGAACAGCAACACCAGGCCTCACCCAGGAGTCTCCTGGGAGTCTCTGAGCCACCGTGCCCCAAAACACCCTGCCCCTCAGGAGGACGCCAGGGGCAGCACACCCGAGGGACCTGGCCAGGAGCTGCCACAGGTGGAGAGGGACACAAATCAGCCCAGGCAGCCTGGAAGACCAGCCACAGGGCCAGCGAGGTGGCATCCTGGAGTGACCAGAGGCTGGATGCAGGTCCTCAGGACAAACCCCCCACAGTGTGGTCACTCCTCCAGGGTGGGAGCGCAGGTGGCAGTGGGAGGACACCCATAAACCATGGGGACCCCCCACAGTGTGGTCACTCCTCCAGGGTGGGAGCGCAGGTGGTAGTGGGAGGACACCCATAAACCATGGGAACAAGCCCTCCCCACACACAGCTGTCTCCACAGCGGGCCTGTGGGGAGCTGCACGGTGGGTAGAAAGGAAGCGTCAGTCTGTCCCTGTCCCTGCCACTGTCATTGGCACATGGAGTCAGGCCCAATCTGCGTGACCCATGCACAATGGGGCAATCAAATGTTCTCCCCCCGTCATGCAAACCCCCAGACTCACTGCCACAGGGCCAGTGCTGACTTGGCGCAGCCCCCGGGGTTCCCAAGACTGTGACTGCAGGAGTAGAAGCCCAGTCTCCGCCCGTGGAGCTGCTGGTGGTTTTGAACTGCCGACCATGCCGACTGCAGCCCAGGGCATCAAGGTTTGCTTGGTGGCACTGTGGGGTAAGCACTGGGCTGCTGAGCAAACGGTTGGAGGTTCAAACCCAGTAGCGGCTCCAAGGGAAGAAGATGAGGCTGCCATGCCAGCAAGGCTCACAGAGGCCCCAGGGCTGCTCTGCTCCGTGGCTCTGGGTCAGTGCCCGTGTGGGCTTGAGGGGTGTGGCCAAGGCCACCAGCAATGACCTCCGTAAAAAAAAGGTCAAAAACAGCTGATTCCGACTCCTGGGGTCACCAAGGCTCCAGGGGTCTATTTCTCACAGGATGGTCTTTGATGGGCGGTGCCGAGACCGGGCCCGACTCTCAGCAGCCCCAGTGCCATGGCATCAACTGCACAATCCATCCCGTGTGCCCACTGTGGCAGCCCACCTCCGAGGGCCTTCTTGTGTCTCAGCCCCTCTACTTGACCAGGCACGATGCCCTTCCCTGGGGCCGGGACCCTCTGGGACTCACTTAAAGGCTCTTGCAAACCCAAGGGGGGCAGACGCCATGGAAACAGAAAGCATGGCTGCCTGGCCAGTGGGTACAGGGGGCTTCCTGTGGCCCCTCGGCCTGGCCAGTGGGTACAACAGGCCAGTGGTGGCCCCTTGGCCTTGGCCTGGGCTGCTCCCAGGATATCACATTCCATTCCGCTCCCCACCAGCCAAGAGGCTCCGGACACTCCGGTTGCCATGGGGACATCCGGAGGCCAGCCAGAACATCCCAGCCCCAGCCCCTCAAGCCCTGGTCCCTATGGCAGCTGATGGCCTGGGCAGTTTGGGGTCCCCGCCCTGGGGCAGCCCCTCTGACCACAGCTGCTGCAGGTTAGAGAAGGGGGATACCAGGGAGGGGGTGCAGCCGGCAGGAAGGCACCCTGTGAAGCCATTGGTGACTAAGCCACAGGCAGTCCGGAGCAAAGGGCTCCGCCCGGCTCTGAACAAAGCACCCACCCCCATCTGCCGCAGACTACAGGCCAGGAGGTGGGTATTTTTAACCTATTGATTTATATTTTATCATCTTCCGGCTCCCAGAGGCCGCAGGAACCAGAGCAAGACAGCTGGGAGGACCTCAAAGTCTGTCTCATGCGTGACAGCTGGTGGGGGGAGGCCGACCCGTAGCTTGACTGCCCAGCACAGGCTCAGGGCAGCCACTGGCAGCCTCAGGGGTGGGGGCAGGGCAGCAGAGCTGGGGCAGACCCCATGCCCAGCACTGGGAACTGAGGTTCTCACTACAAGAGCCTCGGGGGCTCCCAGCCCAGACTGGGAAGAGTCTTCCTGTACCTTCTCCCCCGCCGCACCACGGCCCCTGTCTGGCTTCCCACCCCCACTCTCTCCCAGAAGCTGCTCCACAAGGGCTGCAGCCCCCGATGTGGAAGAGAACCCGGCTGACAGCCCTGAGGGCAGACAGGAGGGGCTCGGGGGCTCTGACAGCCAGTCTCTATGTGGCTGAGGCTGGTCCCCAAAGCACCAGGCCTGTTCCCTCCCCACCTGCCCACCCACAAACATGCCAGCCACAGTGGGGTGACCACCTGCCCCTTCCTTTGAGAAGCCCTCCTGATTTCTTCCAGCCCTCACAGCCCTCTGAGCTCCCAGAGGGTTCTGTCCCATGAGGGGTGGAGCCCCTGTCAAGCTGCCCTTCACACTGCCCGCCCTTCAGACCAAACTGTCCTTCGCAATCAGAGGGCCAGGCCACCCTCTGCCCTCAGTGAAGGACAGCAAGGCTGCAGCTGTGCCAGTGAGCCCGGGCACCGTGAGCCCAGGAGAGGGCTCCTGGGGGTGACTGGCATTGGAGTGGGGGCATCTGGCCTGGCAGAGCAGCCCATTGGGAGGAGCTTGGGCAAAGGAGGCAGCTAAATCTGAGGGTCAGTGGGTCACACATTTGGAGGCCCAGTGGTGGCCACAGGGCCCCCTGTTCACCCTGACAACATGGCCCAGCCTTAGTGACCTGCATGGAGTACTGGCCTTTTGACCCTAGCTGTCAAAAACAAAATGGACACCGTGATGCTCCCTCGCTCACTAGCCGGCATTAGTGAGTGGGAAGGGACTCGCCAGCACTGATGATGGGGCAGCAGGTGGTCCCGGCACGAATGATGCATTCAGGAGGAACTGTGTCCCGTCCTCCACCAGGACTGCCCTGAAGTCACTCTCTGTGAGGGATAATCTCTGCACACCCACACGCAGGTCCACAGCGGCCCTGGAGGCACAAGACTGGTGCACTGGGTGCTGTCAGCAAGGTCAGCAGTTTGAAACTACCAGCTGATCTTTGAGAGAAAGATGGGGCTTTCTCCTCCTGTAAAGAGTTAACAATCTCAGAAGCCCACGGGGGTTTCCCAGGAGGGCCAAGGAAACCCTCGTCCCAAAAGGTCTCGGCTACGAGTCAGCAGTGAGTGTGGCTTCTCTTTAGTGAGTGAGGGAGCCCAGTGCACACAGCCACTCAAACCAGGGATGAAGAAATTGAACAATTCCACCAGCTTGCTCAGGCTGAAATGGATCCAACATAAATCGAGATGTACTGATTCTCTGGCAAACGCAGCGTAAGCCACAGCTGTGATGCCCAGGCCCCCCCACCCCACCTCCAGGGGAGGAGCTGGAGCACCTGCAGATGGAGGTCAAAGTCTTGCATTCAGCACGGGTCAGCAGTGGGCAAGTCTGCTGCCCAAGGCTCCTCAGGCGGGCACTCCGAGGAGTTAGAGGCGCCTGACCCAGGCCAGTCTTTCCAGGCCACAGTCCTCTGTGCAGGAAGGCTGGACGAGTCAGAGAAACTCGGGGAGGATCGATGCCTTCCAGTGACCACGTTGGCAGAGGGTACTGGCGGTGCCGGACAGCCACGAGAACAAACAAACCCATGCCGGAGGAAGCGGCCGGCTGCTCCTGGGACGTGAGGATGGTGGGACCGTCTCTCACACTCGGGATGTGTTGTCAGGAGAGACCAGTCCCTGGAGACAGACATCATGTTGGGAAAGTGGAGGAGAGGGCCTTCGAGGGGGACTGACACGGGGGCCGCAGCAACGGGCTCAAACCTCACAACCATCGTGAGGCTGTCTCAGGACCTGGGGGGCGGGTTGAGTTCTGCTGTACACGGGGTCCCTGGTACCTCACAACGACAGCACCTCATCTTTGGGGGTACTATGCAACCTGCGGACATTGAAACGTGCAAGGCAGAACCCTGTCCGAGAAGAACACCCGGTCTTTTCCACACAAACGGGAAAGCGTGCAGGAGAGCGAGGCGGATGGTCCAGTTCCGGCTCTGGCAGGCTTCACTCTTGTTGCTCACTGCAGGCATGAGGTCCAGCACAGGCTCAGCATGCGGGAGCTGCAGACTGGGCTCCAGAATCAGGGCTCCCTCAGCTGCCCTGGGCTCCCCAGCCCCACAGAGGGCCCCGGGAAGGAGGGACACACTGGGGGCTCCTGGACAGCAGCAGGACATGGGCTCCCCAGCCCCACAGAGGGCCCCGGGAAGGAGGGACACACGGGGCTCCTGGACAGCAGCAGGACATGGGCTCCCCAGGACCCAACGCCTCTTACCCACAACCCACACCACCCCCGTTTCTGCTTCCGGAACTGTCAGAGTCCCAGTCTCGCGTTGTGGGGTGCTGAGGGCTCGCCGAACCCAGGCCTCTCAACGAGACCCTCTTGTGTGCCCGAAACTCAATGTTTAAACAGCATCGAGAGCCAGGCTGGGAAGGAACGAGCCCC